CGTGTATCTAATCAAGCACGTGAATATGGTTGCGAGCCCAGGGGTGGTTTGTACAACATGGCCATCGAACCGGATGGAAATCAATATTTGTCTTACCCTGGCCTTCCTTGGCCCCGTTTAACTTGGTTAACCGGTATGACCGAGTTCTACACAATGACCAATTTTACTTTTGCAAGGAGATTTGCTCAAACGTTTCGAGCACGCATATCATGAAATACTCAAGTTTGGTGTCCGTTGGTAAGAAGCCTTGACAGACAATGATGCAATCAGTTTGCATGTCATGTTAAATGTGTGTGCGTGTGTATCAAGCAACGTTTGCTTGCTAAGTTGGACGGGGGCATTGCAACATGTATGTCTGAAAGGTGTACCAAATTAAATGGAATGAACGCGGTAAATATGGTCTTGCCCAATGTAGGAGTCTCGAAATTGCTGTTTTTGTAGAGTTGTGTGCACATATGGAACTGTGACTTCCCTGTGAAATAATCGTGAATGACCGAGTATACCCATAAATGATCAAGTAAAACCGTGAAAAGCCGTGAAATGAGACTCCCTGGAAATCCCTGGGAACAGGACGTGCGATGGGCAGGTTGGGCTAGCTATAGCGCACTTGGTGCACGCAAATGCGACTTGCGCTGCGAAGCATTATTTGTCGATGCTGCGCGCACACGGGAACTTTGGGTATGTTTCCGCAGCATGCACTTGCACACACCTGCCAGGAAATTGTGTTTGCAGCAAATGTTGGCATGTACTTGGAAGCTCTTTGAGCAAGGCTACCTTAAAAGTTCTACAACGCATGAGATGGCGTCTCAAAGGCCTAAAGTGGCCTAAAGGTGTTCACGTGGCTGGCTGAAGCCTTGAAAACCGTGAAAAGCGTGAAGGCCGTGACAACGGCTTGACCTAGTTTTACCGGAATTTTGTGAGTTGGCCAAGTGAAACTTGGCAAAAGAAGGCTTGGGATTATGTGACGCGTGTCCGTTAACGACCTCACTGCAAAAGGGCCAGCACACGCCAATTCCGACACATGCTCACGGACAACTAATATGAATGTCGTTGAAAGAGGCTGGAAAAAGGACGTGTAGATGAAGTGTAGCTCAGAACGCTGATGCTGGGGCTCAGCTACCTTTCCGGACCTTGCATTTCCAGCTCAGTCCACATAGCGCGCTTGTCACGCCCAAACGTAAGCCCAGAGACCCCCAATCCGTGCAGCAATGAACGTCTGCCTGGGCTCACACTCTCAGTTTGAAGGCCCTGGGCGCAATTGCTCGCACATGCATCCCGCGCCAAACTGGGATGTAGCCAGCTGACCGACTTGATTCAGTGGCATGACTCTATGTGTTCGGCATATCGCCGCAGCAGCCAGCTTCCTCCTGCGGTCCATCAGGCGCGCTGTAAATGCAATCGCCTCTTGCGGTGTGCACGGGGCCCTTCACAGGCGAACGCAAGGGCACGGACGACGAACAACCCGCATGGAGTTGCACTCGGCACTCGTTGCACAAATCCAAGGCCATTGCCCTCCTCCAAGGAGTTGAGACTGCACAGCCGTCCGTGCCGGTTCAGGCACGGAGCCTTGTCATTCTCAGTGCGGGGGATGGCCCTGGGAAGCAACCATATGTTCATTTGGCTTTGTGAGAGACAGATTCAATTTGGGTCCACAGGCAGTTGCAAGGGTTTGCGTGCCTCTGCCGAATTCGGTTTCTATTTGGCAGGTGCCTCGGTTCCGCCCTAAGTTGTGCGGACGCCTCCTCTGGGGTGGATGCACGCATGTTCCACGATACTCTTTCAAGGGCCTCCATCCATCAAAAAGTTTCCCGAGGGTTGATTCTGTTTGACACGTTCCTGCAACACGGCGGATAGCTTTATTGCCCTGGCATTCTCTTCTCAGGCAGTTGGTGGAGAGGTCACGCGCACCTACCATTACTGCCTCTCGGCAGCGCTGGGTTTGAGATCTGGCGGCTCAAGCTCAAACGAGAGGAGGAACAATGCGCAAAGGGCTCAGTATGCAAAACGCTTGCGTATTCGGGGGGCGTCAGGTAGAGGAGGCATCAGAGCGCGGTTCTTTGGCAGCACTGGTCTGGGCTCTTGAGATTTGATTAATTGCTTGCTTGGCTGCTGGCTTGTTGGCTGGGTGGCTGGCTTGCCAGCTCGCCTTGCCTCTTTGCTTGCTGCCTTGCTTGCTGCCTTGCTTGCTGCCTTGCTTGCTCCCTTGCTTGCTGCCTTGCTTGCTGCCTTGCTTGCTGCCTTGCTTGCTGCCTTGCTTGCTGCCTCGCTTGCTGCCTCGCTTGCTGGCTTGCTTGCTGCCTCGCTTGCTGCCTTGCTTGCTGCCTTGCTTGCTGCCTTGCTTGCTGGCTTTGTTGCTTGCTCGCTTGCTTGTTGCTGGCTGGCTGGCTGATTTCGCGACAGCTAGCCCTTTGATGGCTACCTTGAGTAGTTCCTTGCGTTAGTAAGGCTTCTTTTATTGGGCGTCTAAGGGGGCAGTACAAATCCTTGCTTCTTCTCTCAGAAACTCCCCTCTCACTGCTCTTCTCTTCCGTTGTGACGGTTCCGAAGAGACGGTCTGCTCTTGCCATTGAAGGCGAAGTTGTTGTGGGCACTCGGTGCCTGTATTGCTTCATGGTCGGGCTTGTGCAATTATGCGGTCCTGGCCGTATCTCTTTTAAGACAAACACCTATTTGAGACCTTGTTTCGGGATGTTCCATTGTTCTAGGATCCAAGCCCAGCTGCTTCACTTGCTTATAGGTTTCAACTCGATATCAAACTTTCGTATTTTCCTTGGCGCTTGTTTTTTCCAAAGTCTCACGATGGTAAATCTTCCCGGAACCCTCTGAATTTGCAAGATTGTGAAATTTGCAATTTTGGCTGTGTCATTGTCTAGTTTTGCCCGGACCAAACGCTTTTCTCCCTAGTATGCTTCAAGTTCATGTCTAACTGTTATCTTTGCCGAAAGTACCAACAGTTTGGCTCAATGCAGCGAGATCCTCACGATGTTCTGTTGGGTTTCACGCCACATTCTGTTTGAGGCTCTCGGAAGCGATTTTGGTGTCCAGATTCTCGAGAGGATGCTCCAAAGTTCTTGACTTACATGTGCAACGTTGCGCATGTTTTTGCTCAGTGGTCGTTGGGCGGCCCTTGAGATGTTCAAGCTTCAGCCCCAAACCCGGCCGCGTTCCCCCATTTGATTCAAATCCATTTCTATCTGTAACAATTGCAGCCAACATTTTGGCATAATTGTAAACGCTTCGCGTTGCCCGCCTTGGCCAGTGTGCTTTTGGCGGGCTTTGAGGTTTTTACCGTGTTTTAGCCTTGCCTTGAAGTGTTGTGTTTGTTAGAGTGGGTGAGTCGGCGCTGAAATGCGTGAGCTTGGCTTCAAGGGCCAGAACGAGAGCCACAGAGAGCCACGGAATGGCAGTGGGCTTGTGCCAAGCGCAGGTGCAAATTTCTCGTTTCTACTGGGGGCGGGGGGTTTTACCGGTTTTTTAGAAAGATTTGACCGGAGTTGGGCCAGCTTTTCAAGGGATTTGACAGGTTTCTAGAGGGGGTTTCATGGGCATGTGGCCAGCTTTTAGAGGGGGATTTGAGCGGCTCCCACGTTTTAAGTTTTTAGGACCGCTTTTAGGGGATTTAGGTTTGCAGAGAAGCTTCCCGGCCCTGGAGCCGACCGCTTCCAGGCTCAGTAGAGGCGCAGGTGGAGCAGAGATTTTGGCCAGTTCTGAAGTGTGGTCTCGAAAGGGGCTTTCCTGGCCTCTATATAAATCTTACGACTTTTAATGTGTTTTGCTGCTTCTGCCCTCGTTGGCTTCGCATCTTTAAGTTTCCTCCCAAACCCCTCCCTGCTTCAACTTCATGTATACTTGTCATACTTGTGCTACGAAAATTTGCTTGCCGCGTTTGACCCTATTGGCTCCTTTTGGGAGCTTGTCGCTTTACACTAGAACTGCCAGAATCCAAAGCGCACAAGTTCCTTCAACCTCCAAATTCGGGTTGTTTGGCGAATGTTCAAGTTTTTGCGTGTCTTTGTTCTTCCGCGTTTGCGCACATAAGGCACTGTCCGGACTGGAGTGTCATCCATCGGCTCTGCCATCCCATTGTTCCGCACGGACCGGCGTCCGTAGCATGGCATTGCGAAGCTGGTGTCGGCTTCAATACTCAATAGCTGTCTCACAAACATGGCAACAAGCCACGGAAGAGAGATCGCGATACAGCTGACCGCCATGCAGCGCAGCATGATGAACTTCTAACAGCTTCTTCTTGCATATGCGAGGAAAGCCCAGCAACAAACCCCATTTGGGAAATGTCTCGGAGTCTTGACGTGCCTAGAAGGGCCATCCTCTCAAAGTGCGGATGGGCCCCCTGTAGCAGGTAGGGTTTTATGGCAGTGAGGTGCCAGTGCACGATGCCCAATGATGGAATTGAGCCCCGAAACCGATGTAGTTCAGTGATCCTGACGGCCTCAGGTGTTTCTGACTCTGGGCAGCCTCTCCTTTGTGAGCATTGCTTTGATTGGACTCGATTTCCCAGCCACCCGCTTACATGGAACCTGGCAAGATTGGTCTTGCAAAGGAATGCGGTCTTCCCTAGGTTTCTGTCAAGTTCCATGTCAGCCGGAGAAAGCAATTAAAGCTTTGCTACCTCGGGCTCGGGGTGGTAGACTTTGTGCTGCTTTTCAAACGGCTGCAGCCAATGGCGAATGAACTGAGGCAAGCTTTGCATGGTTTTCCTCATCGACTTTGGGGCTCTGGCATGGCAAGCAAGCGCTTTCACAGGCTTTTCAAGTGATTTGTAATGCGCTGGCTTGGTATCATTCGGCAAGAAGCTGCGGGTTCCGAGCGCCTCAAGGCGCCGAGCAGATGACAGTCTCGTGGGAAATCTCTGGAGGAGAAAAACCCTTTGCAGCTTGAAGGACTAGGCTTGTTATTCGTTCAATGGGCTCCTACAGCTGTGCTGTGCCCAACGTATAGGAGGTACCTGGCCGACAGTTTTGCAGCCGTGCCAGTGGCTTGAGGCCAAACATTTTTCTCTCCAAAGCGGAGGGCGGCCATGCGAAGCTCGGCGACTTCGGCCTCTCCACGGAGTTGGCGAATGGCCTTCAGGCCATTTTCCTTGCCAGACCCGGCAGAGGTATTTTTTTCAGGGGTGGCAAGATTGTGAGGACAGTGGGTGGGATGTAGGGAACATCATACTGGCCCTCAGAGCGGCGAAAGCCGGCACAGCCAGCACAATTTTCCAGAAAGCTAACACTCCTCTTTTCCAGCCTGTTTTACACACGTCCTCTTCATACGAACTAGTCGAAACTTAAACTTTCAACTTGCGGCAAGCATGCGGAGGGTAATGTGCAACAGCAAAGGTGACAACAGGGGCAGAAGCCCACATAAGTTCCCAGAACATGGCTCAGTATGCAGGCCACCATGGATTCGCCCGCAGAAGAGCCGACCAGCATGAGCCACAGGATGCACAGCTGTGGCTGCAGCTGCACTAAGTGCAGCGTGGAGTCTGAGGTTCAGCTGCCCGTCAGCAGCAATCCACAGGAGTGGTTGCCTGAGGGGCGTGGCTTCTTGCTGACACAAGCTTCTTAGTGAGTGCTACTCTTCACCCAAAAGGTTCTGCGGCAAGGGTCAAGGCGAAGGTTAGGCCGGTCCAGTACGCTGATCAGGTGGGCACGGCAGGGCGCCTGAGAAGCCGAGTGGAGGTCCCAGACAATTAGACACGAGAACCTTGAGGCCTTTTACATGGCCCCAGAGATCCGGGGAATCCACAAAGCTTCTCCGGAGCTTGTCAGCAGGGCACCCAGAACAGGCAAATGCGCGTTGTGAAACATGGAGAGGTCATGCTCTGATAGACCTGCACGTAGCTGGTTTTGCGTTTTTGAGCTGCATAGCTGCATGAGGCACATGAAACCTGCACAGTAAGAGACGCCTGGCAACCTGGCAGACCTGGCAGACCTGGCAGACCCACAGGCATCCCCGTCATTCACGTGAGTCAGGCAGAGCAGCCCGCAAGCCCGAGGCAAGCCCCAAGCCCTGCCACAGCGCAAGCCATGGGGCGACCTCGCAGATCTGCGCTCCTGGCTCCGTGCTTGCTTGGCATTGTGGGCCTGCGGAGCGTCACGTGGCTGCAGCAGTTCCAGCTGCCCCCGACTCGAGGCTAGACATCGCACCCAGGAGTCGCCCTTGGGATTTTAGCAGCGAAACCAAGGCTTGTGAACAGGAAGGAAGCCACACTACCATTCTTTTGGCATTGCTTGGGTCCTTGTGACAGGTGGCATTGCAAGGAGGGCAGAGCCAGAGCGTGCATCCTACGAGTCCTCACCTGCATGGACAAAGTCTTTGGTCAATGGCTTCTTGGAATGCAGTGGGGCTTGTTTTTCGGGTTTGCCCCCTCTTGGATCCCTCCATTGCCTGTCCGAGAGTATTCAGTGGCAGCAACAGTTTGGTTTTGTACGTGATCTTGGAAATTGAGGGCTCGGTAGCTTTCTTTTGGGACCACACGCCACCGCCCCAGGCTTGACGAATTTGGTCAACACGGCTATGGGAGAGGCAGACGAGCCTCTGGCTCCTGCCCGAAAGTTTGACAAGATCGCATCAGAGCAACTGCTGGAAGGGATCCAAGCCGACTTCGAGGAAAGGCAGTACCTCTGGTCCGGGGACATTGACCCTGAGCTGTATGACGAGGGCTGCGAGTTCACGGATCCGACCCTGTCTTTCAAGGGCCTCTCGCAATTCCAGACCAACATGCGCAACTTGAAGCCAATATTGGATGCCCTTGTTCCAAAGGAACAAAGGAGATGCAAACTGAGAGAGATCAAGCTGAAGGATGGTGAAGTTTTCGCAAAGTGGCAGATGGTTGGGGATTTGCGGCTGCCATGGTCGCCACGGATCGACATCACGGGTAAGACCAGGCAGCGTTCCACAACTGAATTCCACGAGTGGAGTGAATCAGCCACCCTAAGAGTTTGATCAGGACTTCGCCATCCGTAGGGCTGGGGTGAATGAGAGTATCAGTATGATCGCCTAGCCATCTTTTTCGGGCTGCCGAAAGACCGGGAGGTACTCCCCGGGCAAGGACGGGCGCATTGAGTCCTACTTCGAGCAATGGGACGTCAGCGCCGGGGAGGCCTTGGCACAGTTGGTGAGGCGAAGCCGCTCCGGGTGGGCCGTGTCCTTGTGGGCCGTTGGATGCCGTTTCCTTGTTCGTGGGGCATGGCTCAAGTTTGAGGGGTGCACGGCATGTTTACCCCTCTCGCACTTGCAACATCCACATTTGGAACCCTGGCTTTGCCACTCAGTCGAACACCAAGTGTTATTTGTAGGTAGCCCCGGAGGACGTAGATATGTTTGGCCAGCCGCGAGGACTCAACCATCCCCCACAGAAAGAGCTGATGACCGACTCGATTAATTCGTTGTTCAACCCTGGAGAGGACAAAGGTCCATTGCTTTCAACCAATGGTTCAGGCAGTGGTAGATCACGTGCGCAAGCCAAAAGAAAGGTTGGCATGATGGCACCTCACCGTTCAAGAGCACAGTGCACCCCCCGTTCAGCATAGGGTGTGTTTGATTATGTGGGTCTCGGATTCATAGTCCCATGGTCGACTACTCGGGACAACCAAGACCAGTTGTCCAAACATGTTTGAACAAGGCCCAGCCCCAGGCCAGCCCCGGAGGAGGTCATAGAGCACTGGCCCCAGCAGCTGGCAGGAAAGCCCCCGCCCAAACCTGCTCAAATGGCGCACGAGGATGTGCCAGTCGTCGTGCTGCCCGGCTTTGGCAACGAGGCCCTTGACTACTCGGCGGCATGGCGGATAACTTGGCACAACAGCTTTGCATCTGAGTCAAGGTTCATTTTTAAACATGCGCTGGAGCTGACAACTATGTTGGAGAGCAAGCCGTAAGAAGATAGGTGGCGAGATCCTTTCGCTTGCCAAATCTCTGCCAGGTGCCGCTTGGCCAAGATGAGGCAGTGGGATTGAAGGCGTGTCTTGAAAGGCGTGGACTGCCCGTCTCGGTGGTGCCAGTGAAGCGCGCTGATTGGATTCGCGTCTTTGTGGGAATTCTGTTGGATGCCGAAAGCAGGGCTGGCAACGGCACAGCAGATGGTGCTTATGGCTGGTACCTCGATCTCGCCAAGAAAGCTGTGGAAGAGAACACGGCCAGCACGGGCAAAGCCTGTGTTTTGGTGGGTCACAGCGCTGGTGGCTGGCTGGGGCGTGCACTGATGCAACGGGAAGGTCGCGAGCCTTGGTTCAATCTAGCATTGCCTGCTGCTCTGGAAGATTGCCTGCCCTGTCGCAAAGGGCAATCTTTGAAAGCATGCTAACGTTCTCTGAATACCAAGGAGTGGGCAAAGCAACATGTACGAGGCTTGGTCACGCTGGGCACGCCGCACAAGCCACCTCCAGAGGGAAGGATGGACATGACGCGCCTGGGGCGAATGCTTCTTCAAAGGGCGAGTGTGACCTGCAGTTTGTGCCGAACAATGTCAGCAACTGCCAAGGTTTGGGTGCCTGCGTAACCTCAACAAGGCCCATCCAGGGGCCTATTTCTCAGACGACATTTTCTATGCAGCTTGGCTTATGTGCATGTCTCATCCCCTTTCAAAGAAGTTGATGGCCCTGAGGGAGGGTCTAATGCAGGTATCCGTCGCTGGAGATGCAGTGGTTGGAGAGAAGATGGAGGGGAATATACCTATTGTGGAGCTCATTCAGCTGCTTGTCCTGGTCGTTTGACGGGCGACCGTTGCAAAGAAGAGTCTTGTTGCGTCGGCAAATTTGGGCTGTTGCTTTGGTTCTTTCAGGTCGCCATCCCCCGAGTCAACGGCCTGGAACAGCTACCAGGCTCTGGGGGGCTGTGGCAACCTCACGGGGGATGGCCTGGTGCCGGTCGACTGGGCGCACTTGCCGGGGGCCGACCAGATCACCATTCGGGGCTGCCTGCATAGCATCAACGTGGCCGGGACCACCCGGCCAACCAATCGACCCTTTGTATGGAAAATGCGCACTGTGGGCATGAGGTTGCCTTGTTGGCCAGGCTGCTGAGCATAAAACATGTGAGGAACCAAGCTTAGACAGGTTGGCTGCTTCACTAAAAGGCTTGCACTTTGGTTTGTTTTGACGGCAATCGTGAAGTGACTTCTTGCTTGTGGCTGGATAGTTGGTCCTTGGTGCAAGAGCAAGCTGTTGCTCGTCAATCGCTTTCGCCTTGGCATCTTCCCCCTAGATTCATCATGGACAGCCACGTCTTAAGTGTGAACCAACAAATGCGACGATAATGTGTGACAGCCAACCCTATGTCGTCCCTGCAGCGTCATAATTGTCACATGACCATGCACTATTAGGATGCCAGCACATTGCAATGATATCAATACGTTGGAGGGCAAATTCAGCAAGCTTACCAGTACTAGCTTTAAATCTAGTGCATGTGCAGTCCCTAAAAGTGTGAGGCAGGGAAAGGGACAGACAGGGGATGAAGGGGGATGGGGATAGGAATTGGAAGATGGGGCATGTGCAAGCGGCACGTCTGATCATGTCCGCACTTGCCATATCTTGCCACATGGCATGTTCTAAGGATCATATCTTTGCGAGCATTTCGTTGACACTTGGCTGGACAAGTTGTTTGCAGCACTTCAAGAAATGAAGGCCGAAGACGCACTTGCTTCCGTTGCATAATTCGACAGATTGAGTTTCGCTTTTTCGTCTCACTGCAGCCAGCTCGTGCCTGGTTTGATTCAGACCCATTCGGCGCATTCGGCCCATCCGCCCAGAAAAGGCTCTCAGCTGCTCCATCCTTCCCTGCAGAAGTCAGCGTCTTGTTGGCGGCTGTATCAGGTACCCAGCTCTACGATGACCGGGTTGACATGTGCCGACCACAGGTGTGTTCGGATTGACAGCTTGCGCATGAGTGGGCGCGATGCTGGTGAGCTGACGCCCGGCCGCTCTTTGGACCGATGCATTTGGCTCAGAGCCAACGCTGGTGGTTTGCAGGGCTCCTTGGCTCAAATGCTGAATTTGTGTGCAACGTTGGGATCTACCGGTCGGGCTTTGGCTTTGGGGATTTTGCGGGGGATTTTGCGGGCCTGTACTTGCACCACTTAAAGCAAATCACCTGTACAGTGTGGCGGGGTTCTCGCTCGGAGTCCTGGCGAGTTGCCCAAAGAGCTTCGCTTGCCCAGGTGCTGGGCGCGGCGGCGAGGCGTGATGCCGCGGAGCTCGCGGTCGCGGTCACGGAGGAACGTATGGGCCGAGAGAGAGAGAGGGGTAGAACGGCCCTGACTCTTTGTCAACCAATGCAGGCCATAGCCGTCCTCAAGACTGCAAGACCAGACTGTTTGGCAAGCTTGCTTTCTCATAGAAACAGATGCCCTGCAAAGAGGCCTAAGGACACTCATCCTGCTCCACGCCTGCAGGCGCTCTGACTCCCGTTCGCGTGACAGACGCGAGCCCAGACGACGGTCCTCGTCGCGAAGCCCCTCCAGGACTGCAGTCTTCCTGAAGCTTTGCCTTTTGGGTTTTGGCTTTGAATGGGCCAAGCCAGTTTGGCTGGTGATCCCAACTGGCATCGACTTCTGGGGTAAAACGACCAAGGAAATCCGGGAGCGTCCCTCACGTGTTTGATGTGTGGACCAAAATGTGTTTTCTTCTCGCACAAGCCTCAGGAGAAGAGCATCGCCTCCCAGGTGCGTCCAACAGCCGTTGCCGACGCAAAAATCAGCGCTGGTTCTTGCATCGGGGAGTTTGGCAATTCTTTGGAACGGAAAGAGGTGCTCCACGCCAGTATTTCAATAGCCAGCAGCTGGCCTGTTTTCTGTTTCTTCTCCTTTGAACTTTGACCTTTTCCTTCCGTTTTCCATTTGTCAGTGCTCTTCGGTTTGGCCTTTGAACCTTTGACCTTTCAGAGCATAATGGTTTCTGCGCGTAGTCTTGGGGCTGGGTGCAAGTTGGCCTGTGACTGGCCATGTTGGTTTGAGCAGGCGGGCCTCCAAATCGCCACCGCCTGCAAAGCGAGGGAACCCAAAACCAGCACCTGCCGAGACCAGGATGCAAGAGGCTTGCCATGCAATACACAGCAAGTTTCATGTCAAAGGGCTACAATGGTGTGTGCTTTTAAGGAACAACCTGAGCTTGGCAAAGCTCGCATCGTGGCTGGCGCTCCACTCAACACGGGCAGCTAGATAGCATTATGTTGGGCAGCCAGGGGAGCCACGCAGCAACCAACCCCTGATATCTCCTGATCAGGAACCGGGAGCGTCCCGGATTTGTAGGGTGCCGAATCCGCACATGTACGCACGCCACGTCATGCACGCCACGCACCACACACGTGACCGATACTCACAGGCGCGGTCACATGCAAACGCAGATCCACACAATATACAGTGTATGTTTTTCCACGGTGACTGGCTGAGGTGAGAAAACATATCAGGCGGAGATCCTCGTTGCGCGGGAAGGTGTTGATGTGAGGAGCTCAAATGGACCCCGTGTTGGCCCCGCGCGCAACCTCCATCTTGGCCTGCACATGGCAGCCTTCCTTTGCAAAACCTAGTTTGGCCATGTGATGCTGAAATGTTTTCTTCAAGGAGCCCTGCGCTTGAGGCGCTGAACCACTCCGGAAATGTACGCACCATCGCCTGCCGGGGTCCTTCTCGGCAATCCCACGACGACGCAGAGGAGGTGCGGGCGAGTAGTTGATGTGCGTGCCAGGACTAGCTGTCCTTTTCGGGTCGATCCAATGATTTTTGTTGGCAACTATTCACGCACTCCCGTGCCGCAACCTGAGGATTGCCGGAAGTTCGATGAGGCGGCCAGAGACGGCCCAAAGGCGGGCCAAGTGCGACATACATTTAATTAGTGGCTAGCCATCCTCACTTCCCATGTGCAGATGTGGGCGTCACACGGCGCGTCACACGGCGCAGGCTTGCAGAATGATGGCGTAGCCTCGCTGCAGACAGAGATTTCACCACCTGGTCACCTTACCAGATCGCATTTGCAGCGCATGGCATGCTGGAGCCTAAGGCAAGAGCTGCAGAAGACCAAGAAGGGCAGGAGCTGACGCGAGTAGAGGCCCGCGGTAGTTTAGCCTCGCATTCAGCTGCAAGAAGAAGCACCACAACACTGTCCAACCTAGGCATGATAACAGGGATGCCAGTCAGCTACGCCGTGTTTACAAGCTTGTCGGCGTACAGACTCGGGGCCGAGTTGGTTGATGGAGGGAGCCGTCAAAGGACTGGCCCGGTGAGTATCAGACCTCGCATGGAGTGTCCCAAGTAGCAAAAAGGAGTGTTGGCATTGATTGTCCTCTCCGACCGCGCTGCAGCGGCGGCCAGCCTGAGGTTTTCTATGGGTGTCATGTTCTTTGAGATGTGGCGCCCACCATTCTTCACAGCAGTTCGCCTCAGCTTTGCTTCCTTCGTTCAATATCCGGTTTGGAGAGATGTCATTCCCAACAACTAGTCATTGAACTCAAGGCAATGGAGCGGGCATCAGTGTCGTCCTCTCAGTGATCGTCCTTAAGCACATGCAGCGTCACATGCACCAATCTCTACAGCCCAAGGTTGGGGAAGCTCCGCGGAGGCCTATCTTCGGCGGACCGTGTCAAGGAGCCGCATTGATCTGCTGCTTTTGTTCAGCGTGGCCAGTTGCCACCAAACTAACCAGAATCCAAAGTTCTGCTGTCATTTTGCCTTCAAGCTGATTGAATTCCCTCCTCCAACCTTCAAACAACCAAGGTGCCCACGTCTCACTCACATTGGGTTTGAACATCAGGAGGTGCAGGAGCTACTTCCAGAGGCGCGGCATTGACGGCTTTGCTTTGGAAGGCCTTAGTCTTTGACCTCCTAAACTTCAGGCACCCTCAAAACCTTACGCGAACTCATCCCTCGTGCATACCCTGCCCCAATGAGTCAATAAGTCCCTCCGACTCAGATGTTCCTTGCAGGCATCCTCCTTCTTTGACCGCTTCTATCGAGGTTTGCGCATGCTCCATCTGCCATTACCAGCCACGAACACACAACGCCAATAATTTCCCATGCTCTCTGACAACGCGGGTTTCTGGGGCTGAGCAGCTGGTCGCTGAACGTCGGGAAAGCGCAACATCTATCAATCAAATCCAATTCTCGCAGGGAAGTGGTTGCATGTGATGGCATGTCACAGATGCCCAAGACTCTGGACACTGTTGGCAACCGGAGTCGGCAGATCAACGGCTATTGCCAGAATTCATCAGGCATACAGCAATCACCGTGAGTGCATTGAAAGCTGCAAAGGGCAGCACATGTTTTTGGTCTGTTTCTGCAGTGCTTGCCCAGTGCAGGAAGTTAAGAGACTCTAAGGGAGATAAATTGTCCATTCTGCTTTGGTGTTCACGTTTTTGCCCGTCAGGCGCAAGCACCCCGTTTCGTGCGCCATCCTTCCTCTTTCATGCTTTTCCGTTCAGGCACCACCGGAGGCTGCCAAAGTCCTGGCCTCCTTGCTAGCCACCGATCCCGGGGCGTGAGCCCAAGAGGGAGGTCTTACAAAGACTGAAGCCAAAGGAAACCAAACCAGGTGAACAGGACTCATACAGCCATGTACCTTATTTTCTTTATCTCAGAATGGTGAACCGCGATTTAGCCATTTGAAAGAGCCCCTGGCTTTGACATACCCAGGTAGCAAGAAGGGTGATTGGAGATCAGTTGGGATCCAAGGAGCGAATGACGGCAGACCATTTGCGGGGCGCCCCAGTTGTGTGCTGGATTGTCTAGAGTTCCGTCACTACAATGTAACCGCATACTCACCCGGATGCGGCCTTCCTCATCACGCAAGCGAATGACAGAATCCCTACATGACATATGTATCACGGTTGTGGAGTATGCCCGGGGCAGATTGCCGAGCGTGGGTTGTACTTGAGGGGCGCCTCGCTCGAGGCTGAACCGCTCTGGTTTGCTGCCCTCAGGAGCCTTTGATCCACAGGCCGGAGGGCTCTGTCGATCAATTTGACAGGGTGGAGAGAACCGTTGCCTGACAGGGATGATGAAGCTCAAAGCAACGACTTCAGCCAATGCATGAAGATCCGAGCATAAAACCACGGCCGGCTCGCAGGCTGAGTTTGCACTTGCTACTACATGTCGCTACGGCTTCCCCCCCCCCCCATCGCAACGCATGCGAGCAAGCCGCGAATGCAGCATGCTCGTTTAAGAAGCATTTGCGGTTGACATGACGCCATGAGGCGCTTCGCCTCGGCAGGCCCTGTGAGGTCACACCAAAAAGCAGACGTTTGGTACACTTGGGTAACGATCCCGCCAGCGCTGTAAGGATGCATCTTGTATGCGAGGCAAGACCACCAGTTCCCAAACGGTCCCTATTAATGGAAGGTAGAGATCAGTTCGCAGAGGGGCATCCAAATCACCGCACATAGACCCATGATTCTGGTGACAGGTGCAGCGCGTGCTTGGAGCTCTGGAGGCCGTTAGCCTAAAAACCGCATCAATCCTCCGATGTCAGACCTGGAACCGCGGCAATGGGCGTGCTAATTTTGAGTGAGATAAGCTCAACTTGAAAAGAAGATGCTGTATTTGGGACTAGCAACCGGGAGTGCATGAGAAGATGGCCATCTTAGTGGATTTAGCCCTCTGTTCTGAGGGATGCAGCCAAGCCTGAGCTCAAGGTTGGTGACACAAACAGACCTGGCCAGTAAAATGACATTGTGATGATGCCTTTAAAGCAGCTTGATGACTGTTCCGCACTTATTGTTCAAGAGGTGTTGCTTGTCCCCAAACAAGCGTCTACGCCTTTCTCTTATTTTTTTACGGGAGTCTTCAGATATTCCAGTGCATTTTTGGCAATCCATGAATCAGAATTCCATCATTGCCCTTCAGCGCAAATCACGCCGCTGGCGGCTTCGCACGTGTGTGCTCAGGACCCCAGCTCCTCAGAGTCAGTGGCGCTGCTGCAGGACAGATGGGGGTGCCCAACGCCGTGTCGCAAAAAGGCAAAGCTTGCATGCCCTCTTTGCAACCATCATGTTTTTCGAAAGCCCTCCTGTCCACTTCCATGATAGTTGGCAAGTGGGCAAAGAGATCAGGGACGCGTCCAAATCGGTGCCAAGATTTTCAGGTTCCCTGATGCGTTTTTTGGGTCGGAGCTTCGAGACCTCCATCGGATAAAATCCCAGCACGACCAACATGCCTACCCCCTCTGCGTAAGAGGATGTGTTTTACGTAACCGGTAAGCCGTTTGCCTAGGCGCCGCATTCCGAAGCGTTGCTCTGGGAAGTGTTATGTTGGGTTTGGGCTGGAATGTGCGTCAGAGAATGTCCGCCATTGCCCGGAGTGAAGTGCCTTTCAGAAATCGACTTGCTTGAGGGCTTTGAATGGCTTTAGATCGAGCAACGCCCTAGGGTTAAAGATCATGTCGGGCTCGACGTTTGAGTCTTGTTCATGGTTTGCCGCAATCAGTGTGACGCAAGGGCAATCGGTTCCTGGATGTAGGCACTGGCCAACCATCGCAACTATATTGGGGCTAGCGGGCGAGCAGTTGTAGGGACTGCACATTGGAGAGAAGCCAAGGGTAATCACCCATCTATCAGCAGAGTGAATGATGACCAGAGTTGCTTCTTGGTTCCAAGTGAGCGGTGCTTGACAAGCATGCGACCAAAGTAAAGCATGCACGAGCACTTCGTGAACCAGGTGAACCCTTGTCATGTCTCCTTATGGCCGTTGGATTCTGAGCCTTTGGCCCAGGCGCTGTTCAACCGAGCCGAAGAGCCTGCCAAGGACGCGAGCAGAGGCATCAGGCGTTCCACGTGAGACAACTACAAGCTTTCGGCCCAGTTACCATGAAACAGGATGGTTTGTTTAGTAGAGACGAGGGCTTTTCCATGTCAGTAGGCTCGCGGTAAGGTCATGCTTATTTCGGTGCACGGGTCAGTTTCGGTAGTCTAATAGTTCTAGAGCTTTACATGCTTTACTTCAACTTTGCCAATGTCTATGCGCTTCTGTAGAATCACTCTCATTGCCATGGCATCATGCAGCACGGGCCGTGCAAGCGCTGGAGCACCAGCCAGCAACATGCCACACTCACATGCAGAAAGTATCATGCCTTAGTTCAACCGTCTAGCCAGAAAGACAAAGAACGCCTAAGTGCTGTGCGAAGTCGGACTAAACACCCTCCAACCCACAGCCAGCCCACACCACTGCTCTTCAATACCCTGCTGTTGCGAGCGTGGCTATGGCGCCAAGCGGGGAAGCCGAAGGCTTCCGGCCGCTTGGAGGAACTTCAGCAACCAAGAAACAAGGTCTGGACTGCCCCCTAGTGATTTTAAGCATGTTCGGAAGTTGTTTGAAGATGTCCATTCAGGCTGTTTCAAACGGGGGAGCATGGATAGCCCCATGAAACGCATGTTCCTTGCGTGGGGCCCTGAACCGTTTCCACATCCGAGTCTGGAAAGAACTGGTGGCACTGAAAAGGTTCATACAAGGGACATATACTGGAGGAACCGGGTGAAAAACCCGGAAAAACGGAGGCTTTCTTGAAGAGCGGCGGCTCCTCCTAATGGCGTGCACTGGACGAGTTTGGCAGGTGCAAGCTTTGAGACGAAGCCTAGAACGAAGCATTGTTGCACAAAAGAAATAGCTTTGGGGAGCATTGAATCATTGGATGGATGAGACGCAATCGAAGTTTCTCGAGTGGAAAAGAGGTTGCTTCCAAGACCCCAGCTGGTACGTCCTATGCTGGACGAGGCATGCATGGCCATAAACCCTGTACAGCAACACGATGCAACACAACTTGGAAGATGAATTCGTCGAGATATTTATTCCAGTGTAGCAGTAAGTATGTTGGCCGCGGCTATAGCGGCTCTCAAATGTGAAGGGGTCTCCTTCTGGAGGACTCCCCGTTGAAAGCTCGTGAGCTTGAAAGGAAAATCATGCAGACTGGAGATGAACCAGCATACTGTTGCGGCACCCAGGTTAGAATTTGCTGATTTGGTGGCGCCACTCTCCACCAAGCAGTTCCTGGAAGAGTACTGGGGACTGCTGCCTGTCCAAGCGGAAGCTGTATGTGACTGAGTGTCGCAATGGAGGATCCTTCATTCCCGTTGGTCCATTTGGTGCATGGAAGAGGGAAAGCCAACCACCTTGATGCATCGCCAACTGTGAGCCAGCCAAGTGCCAGATGTGACTGTGTCGCTGCTGTGTCGCTGTGGGCAATTCGTAAGGAAGCCCTTCTCTGGCTCGCTGGGTGAGGAGTCTGGCACTTCTAAGTCTTTAAGCTTTTATTTCGGGCACACCGTCCATCTTTCCAAAATGAAGGATGTGCTCACCATCATCAGCGTGGGCTTTCATGACGGCAACATGGCTGAGTGTGCTGCTGGGCTTGCACAGCTGGGCCATTTCTCGAGCGTCTTGCGTTCCAACGAAAGTCTGCAGTACAGCGGCTTTAGGTCGGCGACTGCCGGAAGGACACGCCGAAAGCTGCGACTGGCCGTTTTGGCCGTTGTCACTGGTCTGAACCATTCGCGCCACTATAGGACGACAATTCAAGCTTCACGGAAGAGGAGTTTGAGGGCTTCCAGGCCGACCTGAATCAACGCAGGAGTACCGCATGCCATCGGATAGTGTCAACTGCTTGTTTGCGTTGCTCTGAGGATTTGCGTTATCGATGTTGGGTGGGCACTTTTGACTTCGGCTTGTAGACTTAATGGGGTGGATTGGGCCCGATGAGGGCCGAGCAGGGTGAGAGCAGGCCAACAAGGGCCGAGCAGGAGCCAATTCTTAGCTGGGGCCGCCAAAGCGTACCTTTTTGCATCTGAAATAAGATTTCTCTCAAGTAGGGTCATCCACAACACGGGTGCCAAATAGGGTGGGTCTCAAATGGGGTTGTCCACATCGAGGGTGCGTAATAGGATTGGTCTCAAATAGGGTTGTCCACATCGAGGGTGCGTAATAGGATTGGTCTCAAATAGGGTCGCCACAACGCGGGTGCGAAATAGGGGGATGGGCATCAAAAAAAGACTTACTAGGCATCAACAAAAAACTTAATAGGCATCAAAAAAGACTTTTTAGGCATCAAAAAAAAACTTATGCTCATTCCTATGGGGGGAAGGAAGGAAGGAAGGAAGGAAGGAAGGAAGGAAGGAAGGAAGGAAGGAAGGAAGGAAGGAAGGAAGGAAGGAAGGAACCCCCCCAACCACGCCGCTGATTTGTAGAAGGTTGACAATGATTAACGCACCCTTTGCTGAATCATCACTTCTTCGATCATCATCACCCTTTGTTGAATCATCACTTCTTCGAGCATCATGGGGGGGGCTGCCGCCCCCCCCAACCCCCCCGCTGATGTTCAGAATGTTTACAGAGATTACCGCACCCTTTGCTGAATCATCACTTCTTCGATCATCACCACCCTTTGTTGAATCATCACTTCTTCGAACATCATGGGGGGGGGCTGCCGCCCCCCCCAACCCCCTGCTGATTTGTAGAATGCTTACAGAGCTTAACGCACCCCTTGTTGAATCATCACTTCCTCGAACATCATGGGGGGGGCTGCCGCCCCCCCCCCCCAACCCCCCCGCTGATTTTCAGAATGTATACAAAGCTTAACGCGCCCTTTGCTGAATCATCACTTCCTCGAATCATCTCTCTCTCTCTCTTTTATTATTTCTTTCTTTTTTTCTTTTTTTCTTTCTTTCTTTCTTTCTTTCTTTCTTTCTTTCTTTCTTTCTCGCTCTCTCTCTCTCTCTCTCTGTTTTCTCCCTTTTTCTTCAATGTTTATATCTCTGTATATGTTTCTTCACTGCTTGCGAAAATGCTGCGCCTGCGTCAAACTCTGCACCGTACCTTGCGAAAGTGCCGCGCCTGCCGCGAAATTGGTACCTCTTGCCAAAGTGTTGCGCCTGCCGCGAAATCTGGACCGCACCTTGCGAAAGTCCTGCACCTGCCGCGAATCTGTACCCGACCTTGCTAAAGTGCTGCGCCTGCTGCGAAATCTGTACCTGACCTTCCTCACCCCGCTGATTTGTAGAAGGTTGACAGCGATTAACGCACCCTCTGCTGAATCATCACTTCTTCGATCATCATCACTCCTTGTTGAATCATCACTTCTTCGAGCATCATGGGGGGCGGCAGCCCCCCCCAACCCCCCCGCTCATGTTCAGAATGCTTACAGAGATTACCTCACCCTTTGCTGAACCACCACTTCTTTGATCATCACCACCCGTTGTTCACTTCTACGGACATCATGCGGGGGGCTGCCGCCCCCCCCAACCCCCCCGCTCATTTTCAGAATGTGTAAAAAGCTTAACGCACCCTTTGCTGAATCATCACTTCCTCGAATCATCTCTCTCTCTCTCTTTTATTATTTTTTTCTTTCTTTCTTTCTTTCTTTCTTTCTTTCTTTCTTTCTTTCTTTCTTTCTTTCTCTCTCTCTCTCTCTCTTTCTCTTTCTCGGTTTTCTCTCTTTTTCTTCATGTTTATCTCTCTGTGTATTTTTCTTCACTGCTTGCGAAAATTCTGCGCCTGCGTCAAACTCTGCACCGTACCTTGCGAAAGTGCTGCGCCTGCCGCGAAATCGGTACCTCTTGCGAAAGTGTTGCGCCTGCCGCGAAATCTGGACTGCATTTTGCAAAAGTCCTGCACCTGCCGCGAATCTGTACCTGACCTTGCCAAAGTGCTGCGCCTGCTGCGAAATCTGTACCAGACCTTCCGAAAGTATTGCGACTGCCACGAAATCTGTACCTGACCTTGCGAAGGTGCTGCGCCTTCCGTGAAATCTGTACCGCACCTTGCGAAAGTGCTGCGCCTGCCGCGAAATCTGTACCTGACCTGCGAAAGCATTGCGCCTACCTTGCGAAAGTGCCGCGCCTGCCACGAAATCTGTACCTGACCTTGCGAAAGTGCTTCGCCTGCCACGAAATGAATAAGATTTGTTGATCCCCCAACAGTTTTTTGATCCTCTGGTTTTTCATTTTGAACAGTAAATCAAATAATTTGTTCGATCCCTATAAAAAGTTTTGTTTGATCTTCAGGAAAAAGTTTTGTTGATGCCTAAAAAGTTTTTTTTGATCCCTCACCCGATAATAGGGAGGGTCTCAAATAGGGTTGTCCACATCGAGGGTGCACAATAGGATTGGTCTCAAATAGGGTCAGCCGCAACGTAGGTGCGAAATAGGGTTGGGTTGAAATAGGGTTGTCCTCATCGAGGGTGCGAAATAGGGTTGGTTTGACGTGGGGTTGTCCACATCGAGGGTGCGTAACAGGATTGGTCTCAAATAGGGTTGTCCACATCGCAAGTGCGTAATAGGATTGGTCTCAAGTGTGTCGCCCTCAACGCGGATGTGAAATAGGTTGGGTCTCAAATAGGGTTGTCCACATCGAGGGTGCATAGTAGAATTGGTCTCAAATAGGGTCGCCCAAAACGTAGGTGCGAAATAGGGTTGGGTTGAAATAGGGTTGTCCACATCGAGGGTGCGTAATAGGATTGGTCTCAAATAGGGTCGCCCACAACGCGGGTGCGAAATAGGGTTGGTTTGACATGGGGTTGTCCACATCCAGGGTGCGTAATAGGATTGACAAATAGGGTCGCCACAACGCGGGTGCGAAGTAGGTTGGGTCTCAAATAGGGTTGTCCGCATCGAGGGTGCATGATAGGATTCGTCTCCGATGGGGTCGCCCACAACGCGGGTGCGAAATAGGGTGGGTCTCAAATAGGATTGTCCACATCGAGGGTGCACAATAGGATTGGTCTCAAATAGGGTCAGCCGCAACGTAGGTGCGAAATAGGGTTGGGTTGAAATAGGGTTGTCCTCATCGAGGGTGCGAAATAGGGTGGGTCTCAAATAGGATTGTCCACATCGAGGGTGCGTAATAGGATTGGTCTTCGAAAAAAATGGCCCAAAACATGGGTCTCTCTTGCGGAAGCGGGTTTGCCTTCGGATTTGGGCCTTTGGATTTGTGACTTCGCAGACGCGGCTTCACATGTCTTTTCCCAAGTTGGTGACTGTGCAAAAGCATGGACCCTGCAAATGCTGGCATCCTTTTCTGCAAGTCTCCAAAAGTTTCGGATTCCAGCCTTGACATCTGAGGCTGCGCGGGCGCAGACTACCAAAATTGCGCGTGCGGATTGAGCTTTGCTCACAGAACGCAGGGCTTTGGACCCATTTGTCCGTTGCCGCGGCCAGAGGGTTCCGTTCCAAAACTGCTTCGCAAGCTCTCCTCAGCCGCGTCCGCTGCTGGACCGTGCTCAGCCGTCTCAGCCGCTCAGCCGTCCTCCCGTGCTTAGCCGCTCAATGCTTCCATATTGTACTGCCTAACCCGCAGAAGCGGAATGTGATGGAGTATGTAAACAAATAGACGTGCAGCGCTAAGGTGGCAATGTTTTCTTCCATTTTCCGCCCTGCTGTTTTCAGCAGATGTTGCAGTTTCGTTTGGAAAGTTGTCTTGTCTCTCTCTGAGCTGGTCTTGCAGATGTCATGGGCGCGCTTTGGCGATCTCGTCCTGAGGAGCGTCATCCTCCCCTTTTGCTTCACGCCGCGACCTCAGAACATGCCTGCAGGTAGAGCTGGGCAGAGGCCCGGGTTTCCGACCCGTCAGCCAGCAGATCATCGCCGTGTCTTGCGTTAGCTTTGTGTCGGTCGCAAGGCAAGCGCCGTTGCTGAGGTCCGGCGCCTGGGACATCAAGAGCGCCTTCATGAGGGATTGCGCCGGGTGCGAAACTCGGCGAGATTCTCACCCAACCACATTCGAGCACATTGCCGGCGCCAAGGTATGGAAATGATGCTGAAGTTGGTATGTACTTTTCCCGACCCGGAGTTGAACCAGCACCTTGCGCTGTATGTACATATGCGCAATGCACCTGCACATGGCAAAACCAGTCAACATTCAAGCTGAGGCACCCTGGCACTTCGATCCGCGTTTGGGCCGCATCAGCGGTATTTGCATGATACGCAGTGACACGCGAGCCGCGTACTAAACAAATCTAAGCAACAGGTGGCCTGTGTTACCTAGCACATGGGTGCCCAGGAATCACAACGTGACCATCCAGATCGTTGGTGAGAAGGATTGGCATTATGCGCCAGGCAAGGTTACCCGCAAGTAGATTTGCCGACTGCTGAGCAGCCTGAGGCAACCCCCACACAATTGGCGGAGCTCGGGGGTTGCGAGACGCGCCAATGTGACCTGGCTCTGGGACAATCAACCTAGTCTAACGTTTGCCGCAGTCATGAAACGGCGTACGCACGCCTTCAAAGACTAGTTGTTGCTGTATAAGGAATTTCCTGGACCAAAGCGTCGACATCCCGAGCACAGGAGGGACTTGACCTTTGCTTCTGCAATTGACCGCGCTGTGAGTGCCAAAGCGCACAGGCCCGCTGGAAAGGCAATGCTATAGCCTCAAGCCGGGCTCTGTGTTGCGCCTCGGCTGGAGCAAGGATCTGCTGCGTGGGCGGGCCTTACTTCAACAGTCGCCCTCAGGTACGTGCCACCTGGGCATTGGCACTCGGTGCTTCCGGTGACACTTGCCGGCATGTTTGAACCCTATCCCAAGCCTTCAGCCATTCCATGTCATCCAACGGTCCTTGTGGCTGGCTTATTTGCAGAGGCCAGTGCACAGGACTTGCATTGCTTCCTGGCATAGCCTCGGGCAAATGAACGCCCTTGACCTGGCCCATCCCATCTAAGTTATCCCGACGTGGTGGAGCACATGTTTTGAGAGGCTCGTGAAAGCTGCTTGCAGTAGCCCTGCAAGAACACTTTCCCTTTTTAAGCACCAGGTCAAACGCACATCAATGCGCTGTTTTTGTGAGGTTCTAGTGCATGCTGGCAATTCAGTTCCATTTGCTGTGTGCATGCACCTGATCCTGGCTGAAGGAAAGGCGATTGTGTGTCAGCTCCTTGTTTGCAAACATGTTGCACACGTTGTAGGCGTGTGACTGACTTGCCAGATCTCAATCATTGGCATTAGATCCAAGGTCAATTTGCGAGTAGCAAACCTGCTGCATGCCAAGTTGATCAGTGAGGCAGCCTGGAACAAAGCACGTGACTTCAAAGACACCAGCTGTCAGCCAGTTCTCGACCAGGCGGTGTTTGCAACCCTAGCAGCCTCAGCCCGGAGTCAGAATACACAATACATGGTGGGCGGCCTCGGCAACTGAATTCGGCTTAGCACCTTGTGCATGTGTCTCTCAGGGCGGGCATGCGGCTCCCAGGTACGGCCTGATGACTTTGCGCAGGGCACGGCGGAGCTGCAGCAGCAGGCGGGAGCCATCTAAGCACTGAATGTGCGCGGCAAAGCCAAGATACCGTAAGACCAATGTACGATTGGTTGCAGCTTTGCATGTCTCGAATGGCAGGCAGCTTTGGCAGTCAGGGAGTTGAGCAGCTCCTTGCAGCGCTGCCGACCTCCTCGATGCGGCTGAGTCGCATTGATAGCAGACTCTGCTGAATTCGGTGATTCTTCTCATCGACACCTTCGAAGATCAGGTTTTCCCTTTCAGGTGGAGCATTCCGACGGTTTGCGGTGCTGGCCTGAGAGGCTGGCAAGCGATCCAGACGTTTTGCGCCGGCACTTTGCTAGTGACACCACGTGACGTGGAGATATGTGCGCGCGGAGAAGGCAAGCAGCTGCGCAGCCATCAAAGTTACAACATGTTGAGAATGAAGTCTATGCGATTGACGGACACAATTTGCTGTTGGTTTTGGTGCGGGCACGTCGGCTGACCTCACCAACCAACGTCAGTCTGACTGGGATATCAGAACAGGGGCACGGAATGTGGAGTTAACGGAAGGCGCATGTCATGATTCTTTCGCTTGACGCCCAGCTTGCGGTTTGTACTCTCCGTGGCGAAGAGTTGCCGAGGTTAGGTGCCTGCTTAAGCTATGTCAGCCAGCAGGGCTTCCTTGCCACTGAGCTCAACAAGAATGCTACGGCCGCATGCCCAGAGGCCCAAGGGATAAGCTTTCCATGAGTTGAGGATGCCTGGTACCTATGGAACGCACCTGCGTTGCAAGTTGTGTGACGAGGTTGGCGTCAATCCGCTGGTGCCATTGCCTGAGTTGCAAGGCCCCAACTCAAAGAAAGACATTGCAATGGTCATCCCGCGAGGGATGGTCAAGCATCTCGCAAAGTTGGTTCAACTCTTGATGCTGCACTTGCAGGAAGCGCATCGGCTCAAGAGAGCACTTGTGCTTCAGCCCAGCTCAGCACACATAGCGCTTGAACATACCATGTTTTAGACTGAACTCGGGCGGCACTCAGAACAGGAGCAGCCCTTAAGGCGCCTCCAGCATCTCCAGCCATGGCTGCGCTAAAATGCAAGCTGCACGATGCAAGCGCTAGAGAGCAGTTCTTCGGCTTTTGACCAGCCCCTCTTGAAGTCTTGGTGTTGCAATAGGTCCTATGGGAAGCGCATTGTCCCTTGGAATGGGGCCTTAGATGTGTTTGCGAGTCTGCCGAACAAGCAAGCAGTACATGCCCGCTTCATACCATGTAAGTAGGGAGGTGAAAGACAAGAAGATACAGGGTTAATAAGGGCCTTTTGATATTTCCTAGGCAGTTGATGATTGCTGCGCAGCTTGCAGAGGTGGAAGCATCTTGGTTCGATGGATTCGACTGAATGAACTGCTTTCAGACGGGATTGGGCCTGTCCGAGGGTTTGTCATGCCTTTCCGCAAGCCAAAGCTGGCAAGGTCACTGAGGAGGGCGGACTATTCCCAGTCATTAAAGATGCCAAGACCTGTGCGGCGCATATTGTGCGGCTTCTCCACTGCAAGCACCTTGGCTACCAGCCATGACGGACACACAGCGGCATATGATACTAGTAGGTTGTATTTCAGTCTGGTTAGGCATTTGCAGGCTACCTGGACGTATTTGAGCAAGAAAACATGTTTCTGTGGAAGGCCGGTGCACTACACCATCGGGTGTCTCATTGTGATTGACGTAATCCTCATCGCCGGAACGCTCCAGTGCCAAATGGAATCCCTTGCATTGGACGCTTGTCGCACTTAGATTAAAGTGTTTGATGCCTGAAAGCTGCATGCGTTGAACAACCTGAA